TATAGCCACAACTATGAAAATTCAAATTATTAGCCATAATTATTGTTGGGGGTCAAGATATGGCTAACTGTCTGTTACTATTATTGAATTTTTAACGAAGAAGGTCATGTCATCGGCCACGACAGCGACCACGGCGGAATGCTTTTAATTTATAACTTTAAAACATAAAAGTTAAAGTCAGTATTACTAACAAAATTGTTAACAAATAGTTAACGTTTGGCTAATAATTTGAATTTCCATAGTTGTGGCTCTAATTTCCCGCTTCATAATAGTTGTGGCTAACATGTTTTGGTTGTACTTCTCCATGGACAATTGTAATTTCAGGTTGAAATTAGTATGAATTTTTGTGTACATAACTATAGCAGCTTAGTTGAGTGTGTTTATAACAACAATAACAACTTGGATGTGTGAGTTTATGCTAGCTCCAACTTGCATTTTGGTGTTTCACTTTTTTTGAAAAGAGCAAAAATTGCTAAGTATAAGTTCAGTTTATAAACTTTATGTACATGAATAACACCAGCAACGCAACGGCCAACGGGCCGGGCCCAATTGCTAGTAAACAAACATATAATCGAGAGGACTGTGTCCGCGAGAGAGAAAAAAATATATATAGAGGAAGGACCAATTAGTAGTAGTGGGTCAAACCCAAAGTTCAACGGGCCTTGGATGGATCTGAACCTGGACCTGGTCTTTTCAATTTCTGTTTCTTTCTGTTGACTGTGCCCTCGTGCCTGGCTCACTCTGTACGTGGGCACCGGGTCGTGGCTAGCACGGCATCGCACAGCACGAGCACGGGCATGAAATAAATGGGTCAGCCCGGCACGAGCACAAATAATTTCTGGGCCGTGCCGGGCCTAAACTTCATGGACATGGACACAAGCCAGAGACGGAGCCATCTCGTAGTTAGGAGGGGCCATGGCCCCCCTAAAATTGTAAATATAGCTTTGGTGCACGTTAGAATCAAGAAATGGCTGTGGTGTATTGGCTTTGCTATAGTTTTTTGCAATTTCAAAGATTAGCATAGGGGTTCGAATCTCCTTGGATGCTGTTTTTCATCCCATTTTCTTAGTTGTTGTAGGTTGTCTCCCTAACTAATTCACCTATGTTTTAGGGGTTGTTTGGATGGAGCAACAAAAAAATGGACCAATTGTCTCATTTTACAAAATGTGTAATTTGAAATGAGTTATAGGGGTTCGAATCTCCTTGGATGCTGTTTTTCATCCCATTTTCTTAGTTGTTGTAGGTTGTCTCCCTAACTAATTCACCTATGTTTTAGGGGTTGTTTGGATGGAGCAACTAAAAAATGGACCAATTGTCTCATTTTACAAAATGTGTAATTTGAAATGAGTTAATTCGAATCGTCTGCTCCCACACCCGACAATTTTAATTGCCTCCTTAATTTGAAATTTTCAATATAGAATTGATTTATCTAAATTTTTGGTTATTAAACGAATCAATTTGACTAATTTGTCTCAAAACGACACAATTAGATCGAATTGATCCGTTAGAATTCCTCATTCAAACGACAATCATTATCTTCTTGCTATCTTTGATTTTGTACTTGCGAACCACTACAGTTTGAACTATGGGTTATTCCTTCTATGTTCTTAACGAATTATTGTCGCCATTATAGAAAAGCGCCCAGTAAACATGAGTTTAAAAACATGAGTTTAAACTTCCCAAAGGAAAAGTGAACGGCTATTTGCTGCCAACCAAATTGCTATTTGCCGCCAACTAAAAAAAAAATTTGAATTCAAATTTTGAATTTTCCCTTCCTTCCCTTCCTTTCATTCTATAAATTCGGATATCAGGAACATTTGACTCATTCCAACAAAAACTTCTGTTGACGAGCCCAGTGCCTCCGTCGCCGGCACCGTTCTTCCGTCGTCGGCTAACCTCCCGTCGCCCTCAATCGTCGGAAAACAAGTAAGTTTACTTTTTCCGGCCATTTTTCCAGTTTTACGGCAAGTTTTCCAGTTTTCCGGCGAAAAACACGGCAGGCCGAAAAAAAATTTACGGCCCGGACGCTTCCGAGCTGAAAAAAATTTGCAACCGGTGCGACGGCCGGCCGAAAAAAAATTGTGGCCGGAGCGACGTCGGGACGAAAGACTTTTTCGGCCGGGCGTCGCACCGGCCGCAAATGTGTTTCGGCCCGGCGGCGCACCGGACACAAAAGTTTTTGGGCCCGACGTCGCTCCGGCCGCAAATTTTTTTCGGCCGGCCGACGCAACGGCCGCAAACTGTTTTCGGCCCGGCGGCGCACCGGCCGCAAAATTCTTTCTGCCCGGGCAGTTTTTGTATTTAATTTAATATGATAATTAATTAGTCAATAAAAAATTACTTAATTAGTTAATAGAAATTAGCAATTAGTGTTAATATTTATTTAAGTTGGTGTATAAATGTTTTTTTTTGTAATAGGCGGTTGAATGTTTAATTACTTAGATTAGTTAATGGAATTTTAATTAATTAAGAATTGATTTAACAATTAATGTTAATATTCAATACATTAGTTAATAGAAAATTAATTAATTTGTGATTAATTAACAATTAATGTTAATAGTACATTAGTTAATAGAAATTTAATTAATTTGTGATTAATTAACAATTAATGTTAATAGTACATTAGTTAATAGAAAATTAATTAATTAGTGCGCATCTAAGTATGATATTGTGTAAATTTGTAGATAATTAGATATGGATGATGCGGGTGATGCGGGTGGGAATGAGTTGTATAGATTCAATGGTAGGGTTGTTGATGCATCAGCACGAAGGAGGAATAAGGAGATGAAACGCTCTCGAGATATTGGACATCAGTCACAGGCAAATTTAGGGGAGGATGAGTTAGAGGCTCCTACTGTAGTTGCTCGTTCGGCATCACGGGCGTCTGCTTCCCATGGGAGGAACCAGGGTGCTGCATCGAGAGTGGTCTCGTCTGAGTTTGATGAGGACGATAATGATGAGGATATCGAGGTCCCTCCACCTACGCGTAGACATGGACGAGGGCCGTCTTGTACGGCAACACCACGTCCTGCTATGTATAGGGAACGAGCTGGGCGATTCGTACCACCTGCTCGTCAGGAGACAGAGAGCTCGGCGACTGGACGGAGTAGGGGAGGACGTTCGAGTGGTCCTCCACCGTGGGAGCTTGTTGGTGAGTGTCTTGGTGGACCTACGGATCCTAGCCTCAATAGGAGCTTTCGTGGGCACGTTGCCTATGCGCTTTGGACGGGGGCTGGAGATCGAGGGGTCATCAGTTGCTACAGCCGTACATCGACGGTTGCTTATCTGAGTAGCTACGTGTTTAGTCATGTTGAGGCGGAGGATGTGGTTCAGCAGTCAGGTCTCCAGCACCTGATCTACTCTATGTTCCGCAAGATAGCGATTGACGAGGCTTTGATCTCAGCTTTTGTGGAGAGGTGGCAGCCAGACATGAACACCTTCCACTTTCCTTTTGGAGAGATGACGATCCTCCTCCACGATGTTCAGTACTTACTGCAGATTCCTGTTGAGGGACGACTGATGAGTAGGAGTTCTCCGCAGCTTGACCATCCGGAGGTGGGTTTGTGTGCGCTTCTTGGGATGAACTCGGAGCAGTTGAGTGGTCGTTCGGAGGTCCCTGGATATAATAATAGGGGTAAGTGGTACGAGAAGGGTGGTTTTCTTGCAGAGATGGCGTCCAGATACTCGCAGAGCCACGGGACACATGTGACAGAGGCGCAGTCGTACTTGTTGTTGCTGTTGGGGTCCACTTTGTTTGTGGACAAGAGTAGAGACAGGGTTCAGTCGGTGGTGAACCTATTTTTGGACGAGTTGGAGGAGTTAGATCAGTATAGTTGGGCGTCAGGTACACTTGCTTGGTTGTACAGATACCTTGGTCAGGCGTCTCGTGCTGGTGCCAGGGGGTGGCTGGTTGTCTCACACTTCTGCAGTGTTGGATCTACGAGTACTTTCCGGGTTTCAGGCCATCTCACTTCGAGCCTTCCGCCGTTGGACCTGATGATGCTTGGGCTTCACGATGGATTGGGCAGCCGGCACCTGGTTCTGTGGCTGATCCCAGTGTGAGGTTGGCGTTCTACCGTCGAGCTCTTGACAGCTTGACCCCTTCTGATGTATTTTGGACACCTTTCCATCAAAAGCCTCATCAGGCAGTGCGTCGCTCTTTGTACACTGGAGTCATCCGGTTCGCTGACATAGGCGAGTTCTATGATCCAGCTCGTTGCCTCCGACAGTTTGGATACCGACAGATGGTACCGCCTGCCCCTTCGCGTCCTCAGCGAGCAGACCGACCAGAGGCACCTGGTGGATATGTCATTCGGATTCCTGAGAGTTTTCATGTTGCATGGGATGCTCTGCTATCCCACATGATTCATATAGACATGTACTCTCAGCTGTGGACGACGTATCCATATGAGACTACGAGAGACTATCTTGACTGGTTCGTGGCGCACTCTCATTGTAGAGTCCTACGGGATGATGGAGATGCAGATCGACTAGTTGACTCTGCAGCGGTAAGATTTGACCACTAAATCGTTACTCTATTATAAATATACTTAGCATGAAACTAAAAATTGTTCTTGTTTTTTTTATGCAGCGTGGTCGCGACCTTTTGTACACGTTTGCACCTACGGTTCGAGCAGCAGCAGGGACCGAGGAGGAGTTTCTTGAGCATTCTCGACGAGCCTACAGGGCACTGCACGGAGTGCAGGATGTGTGGACTGAGTACTGGGCTTCTCAGGGACTCCCCCCTCCAGGGGATTTTTAGTTGTTTTGATGTTTGCATATTTGTGTTTAGATCGGATGTTTGACTACTTATGTATGTTTGGATCGGATGTTTATGTTTAGACTGCATGTTTCCATGTTTATGTTTAGATCGGATGTTTGACTACTTATGTATGTTTGGATCGGATGTTTATGTTTAGACTGCATGTTTCTGACACGCTAAAACACAACACCTAACAATGAAAAAAGTGTGAAGCCTCGCAGAATTCCACACGGCCATAAGTTCATAATGACACTAGGGTCATTAAAAATACAACTAGAAAAACAACAACATATAAATAGAGTATTGCAACACTATGCATTGCTCCTACCCCTACCCCTTCCCCTAGCTCTTCGGGGGTCTCTCTGCCTGGCTCGCTGCCGACCACCAAGGCTCACAAACAAATTTTGTCCAATCTCGAGAATAGCTCCCCACTCCGCCACATTAGGATTTGCTAGCCCATGCCAAAGTGGATGCAGAGGGGGTATAGGAAACTGATCCTGGTTGAAGTACAATCGAATGTAGTGCTTGTTCACATAGTGCAGTGATAAGAACATGGTTGGTGGCAAAGTACCTGGTTCCGCATCAATAGGCAATACAGTATAGGCATCATCGTAGCGGTTGGGTAGTGGACGGTTTGCATTATTGACATCAAACACCTGGTATGTGAAGACCATGACTGCGATGTTGTAGATGGTGGCAAACACGAACAAGTCCTCAGAATCCATCCATCGCCCCGGTGGTGCGGAACCCGCCTCTAGCCAATTGATGCGGTCAATGTGAGCTAGTGGACCACCATTATACAAGTTCTCGTACTTCCAAAAATGTTGTTGGATTTCTTGGACAATCGTCGATCTCATGAGCAGATAGTGACTATCATCCCCATAAATACAATGAGAAAGTGCCCTAAAACCACAATGGCCGTCTGGACTAGGGTTGAAATCGCATACCAGCAAAGGTCGAACAAACTCTGGAAAAAGCTCATTGATGTAAGGGTAAGAATATTGCCCTGGGGGGCTCTGGGATGAGTAATCTACAAAAATATACCATACGGTCAAAATTACTTGGAAAAAATTTACAAACATAAACCAATTACTACTAGATGGACTATAATATTAAACCAATTACTCACCTGTATCATGCTCGTCGGATTCACCTCCACTCGATCGGGATCTGCCTCCACTCGATCGCCCCCTACCTCCACTCGAACCAGGCCCAGTACTCCTCGAACGAGACCGCTCATAATATGAACGAATGCGACTGGTGCTTGTTCGAGGCCGTCCTCTTGGATTCTCATTCACTTCCGGTTCCCTCACATTGTCCTCTGCTGGGTGAAGCCCATAGAATGGGGCATCTCTTGCTTGTCTCACTGCTTCAGGACCTCTTTCTTCCACCTCAACAGTAAGACGCCTAAAGTGTTCTCGTTGAAGCTCAATTTCATCACTGACTTGTTGTTGACGTGGGGGGTTTTTATAATCCAAAGTCCGCCAAAATACATGCAACTCTTGAGCATAGAATTGACGTCCTTCTTCCTTAGCTTGAACAATCTGGCAAGCACACTTGAGCCCATGTGTCATCTGAAAATGACACGCACAACTGTCCTTCAACTCCGCCGCCCCATCTAACATCAGTTTGATTGCCTTAGAACTAACGACCCTCCTCAAAAACGTGCACGGAGGCTCAATTGCCCGACTCAGATTGCGGTTCAGTGACTTGTGCAGTTCATTCACCACTTCCAGAAACTGATGTTCCATGTAGTTGTGGTTCTTCGCAAAACAAGTGTCGATCGCTCCTCTACCAGACACAAGGAAAGTCTTGAATGAAGAGTGAGATGACTCAACTCTATTCGAGCTCGTGTTACCAAGATGAAACACATGGTTCGTGTAGCACTTTGCCCACATTGTCTGATGAAGCAACCACTCACCTCGCACGTAGTCGACCATTTTTATGTTCTTCTCTGTCCAGACCCTCTCAAACTCATTAATCTTTTGAAGAAAACCCTCCTGAGTCCAACTCCATGCAGCTTTGTCGAAATATTTCTTCCATACCGCTTGTGCTACCTCTCTTTTTGCAATTCCACCTAGTAATATTTCAAACTTTTGCTTCACACAGTTGTTGACGTGCCATAAACATAGTAGGTGGACAGTATGTGGGAGAGGGAAGACCACAGGAATAGAAGCAAGCAAACCACCTTCTTTGTCTGTCACAATGACATTCAGAACCGTATCACCGAGCAACCCTTTAATACATCGCAGTAGCCACTCATATGTTTCCTGCTTAATAATTGCACATGCAATGTTGAAATTCTTCTTGACTGGAGTAACCCCAATAATCTCAACCCATGGCCAGCCGTACCTGTTGGTCTTGTAGGTCGAGTCAATGAGGATGACGTACGGCCATGCATGCAACATCTGAATGGACGTCGGGTGCGCAAAAAACAGATTAGTGAGCACATTATTAGAGTCCTTTTGCAAACAGATATGGTACCCACGATGTTCAGCTCCGTGAAGCGCAAACTGTATCGCATCCATTTCACCCATCTCATCCAATCTTGTCTTGGAATTTATGTTGTACATCTGTTTGATATCATGATGCACACCCCCTTCAGTATTGAGTGTCGTCTTCTGCTGATTTGGTCTCACCCCCGCCTTCCTCATTAATCTTAACCTCTCTTTTTCAGCCTCACTAAACTGTTTGTTGTGTCGGTGATGTTCTGGATACAACACCTTTTCATGGTTGTGAAACCCTCTATTAGCTCCGGTTTCACGACTTGTCACTCCCACTATGACCCATGTGTTTGGACCATTCTTTTGCCATACTTCCTTAATACATATCTGAAACTAGCAACCAGTACCCTTCGAACTAATATTCCCATGCGTCTCCTTCGTAGGGTCTGGTTTATAAGACTTAACGATCCTACTACTTCTGTCGCAATACATACAGAGGGCAGTAACAGGATGTAGTCCAGCAGTATTCGGTTTCCATGCTCCCCTAACAATAAAGAACCCACACTCCTGAGCGATTGTTTTTGCAGCTAACTCAGCTAACTTCACACTTGCATAATGGATCCCATTCTCAAATTCCTGTGTGTAATCATGATCGGCCGGTAACAACTCTGACATTTTTCCTACAATTACAATATAATACATCAATATTCCTGTGAACCTAAACGCTAATTTCAAGTCTTAACCGCTAAATTCAACTCCTAAACTCTAAATTCAATTCTTACACGCTAAATTCAACTCTTAAACGCTAAATTCAACTCCTAAACTCTAAATTCAACTCCTAAAATCGAATTTTCCGAAAAATTCCAAAAACAGACGGTGGGCCAAAAATTTCCGGCGGCCGGAACCTGGCCGGGCCGAAAAATTCCGGTGGCTGGAATCTTGTGGCTCAGCCTGGTTCCGGCCGCCGGAATTTTTCGGCCCGGCCAGGTTCCGGCCACCGGAATTTTTCGGCCCGGCCAGGTTCCGGCCGCCGGAATTTTTCGGCCCACCGTCTGTTCGTTTCAAATCGTCGGAAAAATTGTTCGAAACTTCAAAAAAATTACGCACCTGCTTAGTGATGATTCATGGATGCGTGTACGCAGTATATGTCGAGGATAGGCTTTCCCGATGATTTTTCGGCGACTTTTCCGGCGAGCGTTGAATTTTTATGATTCAATACATTCTCTGAAAGTTGGATATGTTGTAGATTGTGAAACTCCTTAACCAAAGATGTATATATATACTTTTTTTTTTTGTTGGCGGCATATAGCAATTTGGTTGGCGGCAAATAGCAAGCCCCAAGGAAAAATGAATTTCAAAATTATAAGAGAAGGAAAATTGTGAAAAATATTATACATAATATATTTTCTTATAACAAAGTTTCACAAGGAATATGATAGACTACATCTAGACTCCATAAATACGTCTGAAATTTTATTTAATTTTAAAATTTGATTTTTTGTTGAATTTACTTAGTGTAAGAAAAAAATTGGCCCCTACTAACTTATAATCCTAGTTTCGTCCCTGGCACTAGCACGGGCACGGTATATAAGTGGGTCATATCGGGCCTAATATTTTCGAGACTTTATTGAGTATAAGAAAGGACATGGCACGAAAATAATATTTATTTGATAGAAAATAAATATATACAGAATTATACGTTCAAATATTACAAAAAACAAGTAAGAAAATAATTATTTATTGTTGTTAGAAGTGTCATAAAGATATATACGTAATTACTAACATAAGTAAAAATAGACAAAGAATTAAACAAAGCCAAATCACACTCGCTATACATCCAATTTTCTTGTCCCCCTTATTTGTTACTTTTCTGAAACATTAGCGGTTAATACTATCTTCCTCCGTCCAATTTCCACCTTTTTTTCATTCTCTCTTTTGTTTTCGTCCTTTTCATTAAACACGAATACGAGCATAGCACGAGCACAAATAGGCACGACACGATTCGAACCGTGCCCAGGCCTAGGCCGGGCCTAGCAAAGTTAACAAATGAGCTTGCATGGCAAGGCACGAAAACTGACAGGCCGTGCCAAGCATGACACGAAATAAATAGGCACGAAGCGTGCCCATGCCGTGCCGGCCCAAGCACGGCCTAACGCCCATCTTCCCGCATCGGCGCATCCCACAAAAAAGTTATGTTTGATCATTGTTTTTAATTGTTTTTTTTTCTTTTTTCTGAAAACACCCTAGATGGTCGTCATAGCTCTCTCATTTTGTGCATTTCCTCGTCAGATTTTGTTTAGCCAAAGAGGATGCCACGTGGCTGTACAATGCCAAGGCTGTTACTTCAATCTCGGACCTCCCTCGGAGATAATGTTACAATAGGGATGATAATTTCGACCGGATTCGTTCCGATCTGTTTAGACTATTTTTGGGCAAGCATGGGTACTTTTATTGACCCGATCTGACCTGACCCGTCCATTCTCGACTCGTTCTTGTATAAATTACATGTTATCTTAATCAAATCACTTAGGATTCTCTTTTTATTATCTCATATTTTAGTTATCATAAAATTATAAATAATTAAAAACCTCAATTTCTCCAATAATTAACAACATCTATCATATTATGATTTTTTCTTAGTCTTCTAACGAACCTAAAGAATATTTCTAATCTTTTCCACATAAATTATATACACATTGGATCGACCTGCCCTTACCCGTGCCCCATGATGAATTACTCGACCTAGACTTAACCTGCCACAAAATGAATGTAAGCATTGAGAATTCGAGATACCCGCCCCGTGCCCCATAGACATTCCTAATTTGAATAGCGTACTTAATCATGTTGGAATTAAATTCCATCGATGAATTCATGGATTTGTTAGGAGAAATTGGAGCTCAGAATGATGGAGATTTCGGCTCGATTTATGGCCATGGTAACCTAACACTCAGAACTAACAAGGAAATCTCTAATTAAGCACACGTCAGAGCCCCTGCGAATTCACATATACCAGTCCCTCAACAAAATACAGTAGGAAAATCCGCGAATTGGATTTTTAAAGCATCAGCCCTTCATCTAATATATAAAATTTTAACGAAGAGTTGCTGCGATAGTGTCAAGTAAGCATGATATCAGACGGTTGCACTAAGCAAGTGATCGCCTTTCTCTCCATTAGTTAATACCAGACGGTTGCTCTAGCTCAGTTGAGTTCGGAATCCCGTTTCAGAAAAAAATAATATTCAGAATAATTTACTTAATGCATGCACGAGTATGTTCATTTCTACGAATATGTTCAAGTTATGTGTCTCGCCTATCACGATGAAACTAGTTAGAATTAGGTTCTACTCCCAAGTCGGATCATCAGCTACCAATGGTGGAACAAACCTGCATCCTTGAAGGGTCTGCTCAAAGAGGTGGCCGATTTTTAGCAGTTTCTCCTGTAAAATTGATTACTTCATTACCAAATTGCTAGGCTTGAAACCCCAAACAGTCTACCATTTTCTAACAATAACAAAACTGGCTGGAGATATTTGAGTGGAGTACCTCATGAAATGCTGCTCCAATCATTTGGAGACCGACTGGAAGTCCCGAAGGCCCTCCCTCAACAAATCCACAAGGTACAACCAGTGCTGGAAGCCCAGCCAAGTTAACATTTACCTGAACCAAGGATGAAAAAACCCAAGAGACATGAAAAAGGATTTCAGTTTCCTTTAACATTGATGTTAACTAGAGAAAACTGCTAATGCAATTATAATAATTGTTGAAAATAAGTATGAATTCAGTGTATGCTTACAGTCATTATGTCTCCAGCGTACATTGACAACGGATCGTTTTTCTTTTCACCTGTAAGTTACAATAACCTTATAATTTCTGCTGAAACAAACCTCTAAGCAGAAGCACAAACAGCAACCAGCTGTTTAGGAATAATAAGAGGCAACCAACATACCCATCTCATAAGCTACCGATGGCGCAGCTGGGGAAATTAGAATGTCATTAGAGTCTAGTGCTGTCTTGAAGCTTTCTCGAATCAATGTCCTTACCTGAGGCATTGAAAAAAAGCCATTAATTTCTTATTCGAACACCTGAAGGCTCTCGATGTAATTGTACTCAAGTATTTATTAAATCTATGTGATTTACTATTTGATTGAACAGCGTAGAAGCCAACAAACAAGTATAAATTGCATGTAGAACCTTTTCAAATAAAAACAAAAAGAAAATTATCTGTAAAAGCAACTTCAGATGGTACCACAACTCATCAGACAATCTAGATACACTTGCTCATTGTGAAACAAGAGAACAGCTCTCATCATTCAGATTCATTACTAAGGTTGACTTCCCAAGCACAGTGTAAAATTCAACATATGCATCGGAATTCACTATTGCTTATCCATGTATTCTACATGGTTTCTAAACCAGCATCCATATCCAGGTCTACCGATACATACAAATAGATCAAATAATACCTGTTGAGCACGCTTGTAATAAGCATCATAATAACCAGCTGAGAGAGCATATGTTCCCATTAAAATTCGCATTTTAACCTGCAAGTGCATATAAGAATCAAGCGGAAATTAAGGGTAATGCTAAAGTTTTCCTTCCTAAGGTTTGAGCAAATGAAGCCATTTAGTTCAAGAACTTTTGCGCGATAAATGATCGCATCTCAATGTCATCTCATGATAACATACCTTAGAGGCTTCATAGACAATTTCATACTAGAAATTGATTGATAAATAAACATGAATTTATTATATAATGGGACATTCTGGTGCTACATACCTCAGGACCAAAACCACTTGCTCTCGAATCCGCATAAAGAGCATTTAACTCATCAGATACTGTTTGTTTTCCATATCTAGACATCAAGATATAGGGCGATGACAACTCATTAGTAACACATCTGCCATGTATATACAGAAAATCTCTACTTGGTAATTCAAAAGCATACTTAGAAGAATAAATCAAACTGAAGTGAAAAGGCACTAAGAGAGGCCCCCCAATCAGTAGGACGGACGGAAAGATTAAACTGGCCATCACAACTGTTGCTAGAAGATATTATTTTGAATTGATAAATCAAACTAAGATGATTAAAGGTTATAAGGAAAACTAAATTTTGGTGGGGTCCAAATCCATTTTGTCCAAGTTTATCATTCGAGTAAACTTATATTGTGAAAAAATCATATCAAAGAAGAGCAATAAACGGAAAAAAACGCCTTCTGCCTAGAGAATCATTACACTAGCAGAAATAACCAGACCAGAATGGTATAAATACATAAAATCTTCATCTATGTTCAGCCAAAATACTTGCAACAGTTTTTTTCTTCCGTTGAATCAACAGTTTTTAATTACTATATGAATAAGACAGAAAGTTCTACAAGAGAAGCAATTGTCAAGACAAATCACCTGACACCATCATAACGAGACAAGTTTGAAGATGACTCAGATGAGGCAAGAATATAGTAGGCAGGTAAACCAAGGGAGAAAGAAGACAATGAAACCTATAAAAATTAGGAAAGAGTTCAGTACAAAACTAGATCAATTACCATGTATGTCATGTATGTAAAGGGAAAATGTAAAAGAAGGAAATGCTAGAAAGACCTCATTGACAATGCAGCCCAACTCTTGCATATGCAAAACAGCAGCGTTTATTGCTGACTTAACTCCACTGTCCACACCATCATCAAGGGTTTCCCGTATAAGACCCACCTTCAGCCCACTCAATGGTTTGGACTCCAGTAGGTTTATGGAAGCAAAAAGAGATTCAAAATCTGGAACTTCCTGAAAATTAAATTTATAGAATCAAGCCAAAGCAAACAATGTCAAATGCACTTCAGTTCACCCAAAAGTAGTAGCAGAATGGTAAACAATAAGCCAACAAGACTACATATGTTGCATTGTAATTCATTTTCATTCCCTTTCTTTTCTATCTTTGATAGGCTGCACTTTGCATAATCAATATAGATATACTATTATCTAATCAGACATCATTTATGTCAAGCTACAATAGCCTATACATAACAACCAAGAATCACTCTGCTTTCTGTCAACATTTCCATTTTCCCTTGTAACAGGCCAACTAGTAAGTAGCATCATTAGGAACACAAATTAGAATACCCAAGAAGCGAGTAATCTGAATTGGTAGGCATATCTAAATTCAATGGGCCAGGAAAGGAGTACATCAAGAGTACTTACTTGCTTGCTGCTAGTAGCATCAAACTTATCATGACCGGAGATTGCATTGAGAAATATACCAACATCAGCCACTGATGTCCCGAGACATCCGATTACGTCAAGTGAAGATGCATATGCCATAAGCCCAAACCTCGAGACACGTCCATAGGTCGGCTTTAACCCAACCACACCACAGAATGATGCTGGCTGTCTTACACTTCCACCTGTATCACTTCCCAATGAAACTACGCATTGCCGAGCAGATACCGCGGAAGCCGATCCCCCCGACGATCCACCAGGCACACGACCCAAATCCCAAGGGTTCGCAGTCACCTAAATAAAAGCGTTACTTCTTCACAAATTTTGGCCAAAAATTGGACAACAATGGCAGGTTAAACATAAATAAAATGACTGACATTTATGCCTAAAACACATGAATCAACACGAGCTCCTTCCAACAAAATTCTTCAGGAATCCGAAAACTATAAGTACAGCGGAAAGCTTACAAGGAATTGATTTCTATAGATAACACCGATCATCTGATTCGCTATGCTGAGTATAACATGCCACTTAGGATAGTTGAAACGAAATGCTAACACTTTGGGCCATTTCTACTACTGCTGTGTAAGTTTAATTAACTAGTTCCACAGAAGCGAAAGTCTCCCGGAAAACGTACCTGAAACCCAGAACCTTCTGTAGTACTTCCCATACCAAACTCATCCAAATTAGTCTTCCCCACCACAATCCCGCCTTTCTCCTTCAGCCTCTTCACCGCCGTGGCATCAAAAGGCGGCCGGTAGTTCTCCAGAATACGGGACCCACCTGTGGACGGCATATCCACGGTGCAGATATTATCCTTGACGCCGACCATGACCCCGGCGAGGGGTCCCAATGCTTCACCTCCGCCTTTTGCAATCTTGTCATCGATCTCTTGCGCGGATTTCAACACGGAATCGGAGACGTGTATGAAGGAATTGAGCTGCGGCTCCGTGAGGCGTAGGCGGGACAAGTAAGACTCGGCTAGCTGGGTAGCAGTGACGGATCCGGAGAGGAGGGAGCGGCGGATGGTCAGGATTTGGGAGGCCGGCGCTCCCCCTGGGGATTGGGCAACTGGGAGCGGCGGCGACGGCGGGTAGTCGGAGAGAGAGGAAGCGGAGGCGGCGCGGGGTTTAACGGAAGAGGTGAGGTGGAGCGGGAAGCGGGACAGTGAGCGAGGGGAATGCAGAGTGGATAACATTGTTGCTTCGCCTTACCGATCTCCCGAGGAGCCAGAGGGGTTTAAGCGGCTAGCGTCCAGATGGGCCTTTAAGCCCAAGTGTATTTGTGAAGTGAAATCAAGGGACTGTGAAGCAATTTGGCGAGACCAGTTCTCATTTCTCAATCCTATTTCGTGTGGTACAAGTTATGGCCATAGCCATAGCCATAGCCGTTGTGGTCCTATAACTTCGGTGGGATTCTGAAGCTTCATCTCCTCAGAAACTCCAAGATCAGGCAACTGGCAAGAACTTTGATCTCCATAAATGTTACCGTGGCTTCCGATTCATCGAAAGACCACAGTTGAGATGTAGTAGGCGGCGTACATTAACTTTGATCTGCATAAATGTTACCGTGGCTTCATATTCCTTTGATACCACTCACCATAACTTTGATCTCCATTAATGTTACCGTGGCTTCATATTCCTTTGATACCACGCACCACGACTCCTTCGGCTGCACCTGGTGATCCAGCGTATCTTCCTAAACGTCTTTGGTTCAACAAGAACAAAGAACCCAGGCCTGCAGTTGTACTACATTCATCACGGCTATTATTCACTCCATGCTTACTTCAATGTCATTTTCGTGCACTAAAAGTCTTTGAAAAATGAAGCTCAACAAATCAGGTTCCAACATGTGAAGTGAAGGGAGCGGTAAGGAAACTTACTTACGATGCGAATTCAAGAGACTAATCAGCACAATATAGAGAGTTTCAAAACTGGAGAAGAGTGGTACCAGGAAGCTCTCTGCCTGTGGTCTCCTGCAATAGCTCCAATCTCCAGAAACGGCGTAACATAATTGTCCTCATCGTTCTGCAATTCTTCCTGTTACTACAACTAGTATGTGCCAATGCTGGCACAAATTGGCCTCACTAGGATCTCCCAACAATCAATGGCCCTCGCACCAGCCAGTAGTTTGCTTACGACTGTCTACCCAGCCAGAACTTTAATAACCAAACAACTAAACAGTAATAAAGAAAAGGGTTGACAGATATAGGTATCCATTTGTATAAACAGGAACTAACAGCAAAACCCAGTCACGACATCCATAGAATTTGTTTACTGATCTATGTCTCGGAGCATATTTGAATGAAACACAAGCATGATCAGTACCAATCAAAGAAGATTGACCAAAGAAGTTCACCAGAAGATAATGGAGACATGCTAGAGAGATTAAGTGGTTAACACACCTATGGGACTTCCATTAAACACTATGGACAAATTACATATATGCTAAAGTGATACAAATTTATAAGGGCTACAGTGATATTTAGCTATAGTGACTTACTGAGAAACACCTACTTTTAATCTGTCAAATCTGCTTGCACAGTTTATGGTCCCATCCTCGACGACTCATTCTTTGCTGCTTTCACAGCCTCCCAATAACGCTCATCTTATACATTAGAAACATCAGAGTTCAACTCAGCATCTGATGCCTACGGCTCCCCCACGTTTGATGACTTGACTTTAGCTAGAACCTTCCGCCGCTTATATGTCAAAGGAAGTACAGAATCTCTCTTAAATCCCTCGGTAACACTGGATCTATTAGCTCCACTGCCTGATATTTTCAAGCCAGCCTCACTTTTGCCATTCATTTCAGTAGGCTGCCCAATTACTGTCTCTGGCTTCCTTTTTCCAAGGTTCAAGACTCTGGGAACCACTTCTGGAAACGTTGGAAAATGGTGGCTTTGCTCAGCCCTTAAGGTCAAGTACTGCTCCCTCCCGTGACATGGAATTGCAAAAGGAAACGATCTCAGCGAATTAAGAGAAAAGTCCTGAGCTCCAGCATGTAGCTCTGGCCACAAATTTTTACCATCAACATCATATGTGCTTCCACCCACCGAACTGACTGGAAAGTCATGCTCCTCTCGAGGCACCCTTCCAATGCCACCTCCAACTACCTTGTTTAACCCAATTACGGATCTCTCATCCAAAGATGGAACTTTTCCCCTTCTTATTTTTTGATTCGAGCTTTCAGAGCGACTACTGGTTCTTAGAGTATCATCTTGCTGATTCAATAAACACAGAGGTTGGTCCAAAGCTGAATGTACTCTATGGTCAATGATTTGCCCCATGTAAACTGAACTGCAGAGGCCACCTGCTTCCCGGATGGGCAATGAGGCATGCAAGCGAGAAAACTTAACATCTAGCAAACCTTGTGACTTGACAATAATGTTTGGTTTTAATCCTCTAGGCACTTCTGATTGTTCCAACTGACTAGGAGGTGGTTTTGGGACAATTTTCAAGACGCCCTTGGGTATAGAACGACCTTGTTCCAACTTGTCATTTCGGACTACTTGTGCAGCATGATTTTGGCATGAACGATTTCCAGATGCCTTCATCTTTAGAAAGCCCTTCCCTTGGCAGTTTGGGGGAACAAATTTTGCTACACTGGCAGCTTCAGCTCTTTTTCTTCCCGGAGGCTTAGTATCCATGGAGACATCTTCACTTAAAAGATTATCATCCCCAGGAAATTTATTAAGATCTAGTAAAGTGATATCTTTGTGCTGTTTGTTCCTTTGACCCCACAAAGAGATACGTTCCTCAACACCGACGCCCTTTCCACACCGAGCCCATATTCTACTCATTTCGCCAAAAGTTTGTGCCATCTTATCATGGTATGACCTTAGCATATGATAATGCTTTTTCCTCTGGAGAAACTGTAAACCTTCTCTGTAATGAGCCACGGTTGGAGGATAGAACCCACCTCTCAATCTTTTGAAGAACATATCCAAAGGATTCCCAAAATAAATATTACTGCCATCAAAAAGCTCCTTCATAGTCAACCAAAATGTATGCTCGTCCATATCCGGAAGATAACCTGATAAGTGAAATCGCTCTTCCTCTGTTAAACAAGAATTCCAAGTGTCTATAGACAGTATATCCTTTAAGTCAGGCAGATCATAGAGATCATATGGCATGCTGCATACATGACCTTCCACCATACCAAGCTCGCAATTCAACTCTATCAGCTCCTCGTCATCAGAATCATCACCTGAGTCTGGTCCTAAAACCAGGTTATCCAGCACCTCAGTGCCACTTCCATTGAGGCAGTATGCACCCGCACTGTAAAATGCCTTCGAGTGGTTGATCTTTTGAATACCCATTGCAGTTGATGATTTACTCAAAAGAAGATTCCAAATAGTGGCCTTTGTTGAAGCTCAACAAACAGAAGCAGAAGCATGATGGCTGAAAACGAAAAGCTTCTAAGTTAGCCACCAAACTCACATTGTCTTCAAATGTAAATACTCAAGACTTAATGAAATCATTCTATGCTAATAATTCTTGAGGTTGAGAGTTCAAACGTACACGAAATGCGAAATACGAACATTGTATTAGAAAACTATGGCAACTCATAACAAAATCCCATTTGATCTACACAAGTGGTGTTCCTGGCATCAACCATTTTAACACAACCATACAAAAACAGGAGCTAAACTCAGTCAACTGAACAACTATGAAGGTGGAGAAAGATACACTATCGTCCATTCACTAAGCTTAAACGCAATAATCTACCAGTTTCGTACTATCATCCAGCAAAACATAGTTCATCAAAGAAATGTGGCCAGAAATTATACCTTAATACCGGATTCAGTGACTTGAGGATGCTATAGAAACTGAAAATCCTCGATCCATTGATCTACTAGTCTATCCTTCGTTAACCAGCTACAAGCAAGTCTACTCAGAGCCAAATCGCTCTCTAAGTTCCGTAAACAGTAGCCAAGCACCGACGTCGAATCTCGAAGCTTAGTTCCTCCCTCCCTGGCTCTTCTCTGGTCTTCCGATGTCTTCGATCTCTGGTCAGAAATTGAGAGATGACGGCGGGAAGCTTCTGAGTGGGACACAAAGAGACTACCTCAACAACTCCGACCCGATCTACGCTTCCTCTCCATCTCGAATTCTCCAGCCAAAAGCCTCTGCTCACTCTAGCTCAACAGATCCGGTGGCTGCTAACGGCGAAGCTGGAGAAGGCTATTGCTGCTAGAAAAAATGCAGAGATTGGCACTGCAAATAATCGCTCTGTCTGATCGAATCCAGCTGCTCGAAATTTCCACAACTGTGTCGTCCAAAAAGGACGACCTTCCTTTTTTTCTCCCTTTCTCGAAGCTTGGACTCTTGTGCTGCTGCGGCCAAGGCCAAGAAAAGAAAGGAAGGTGTAATGTGCTGTGCCTCCCATTCCGTGATTCCCGTCCTCTTTTTTAGTTTCTCCTTTCAGTACCTCAACTCTCCACTGACTTTTTTTTTGACGAATACTCTCCACTGACTTGCGGTTTCGTCCTTTGACCAGTTGACCTTTGGATACAATTCAAAAAGAAATAGAAATGGAATTCTATTTCCATTTCCTATTTTTATAAAATTCTACTTTCAATTGTAGTGTTTGGTATAATTTCTACAACTATAGAAATGAATTGCAATTTTAAAAATATTTAATAATATAATATATTTGTTTTATCTTAGATAATGGAATATGAATGATAGAGAAAGAGAGTAGTGTGATAGTGGGTAAATGACAGAAATATTGTGTTTTTTATTTAAATTTACCACCAATATGGCGGTTTAAAAACTATTGACACATATATTGTGTTTTTTTGCAGGTTAAAAGCGTCGAAGCCCGAAACTCAGGCGTTGGCGCAATTTATGTTTTATACAACAACTTGACAGCGTGCCCGCCCGAGACTTCGGCACTGGCGCTATATGAAAGTTTTCGAAAATTTAAATAGCGCCAACGCCTTAGACTCAGGCGTCGTCGGCTCGTCGCTCCCTTCCTTTTTCTTCTTATCTTCTTCCTCTCACTCGTCGTCGCTTCCTCACCACACACCAGCCCGCAGCGAGACTCGAGAGTCCCTCACCCCCAACCCCAACCCCCGCCGACAGGGATGGTAGCGCCGAGAAGAAGGAGGGCAACGCCTCAGACCCAGGCGGCGGCGCCAACATCTCGACGAAGGCGCCTTGTCCAGGGCGGTGTCGCTCTCTTCTTCCCCCCGCAGATCTATTTTCTCCCCGCGAGCAGCCATGTCCGACGACGAGCAGGCCGGCCCCGACAGAGGAAGGGGCAGAGGGCGGCGAGGGCGTCGTGGTGGCGGCGGCGACCGCTACCGGGGTAAGTTTGGTGGTGGCCGGATTCTCGCCGCCGGTGACAAGTTTTTATTTATTTTATGTTCTAATTAATTTTTTTTCAGTTCCTAGGCTTATGGACCCTTGTTCGATGAGACCACCACCTGCGACAATTGATACAACTCCGGTGGATCCAGAACTTCTTTGGGCGCATGGTCACCATCGTATTGACGGCGTTTGGGCAAACGAGGTAAGTTTTCAAACTATTTCTATACTTTTTTTATTAGCTGACTCTAGAATAGAATTAAATTAAATTACGAATATAATTAAATTGAATTACGAATAGAATTAAATTGAATTACAAATAGATCTTAATTAAATTAAATTATGAATAGAATTAAATTAAATTACGAATAGAATTAGATTAAATTACTAGTAGAATTAAAATAAGTTTAGTTTAGATATATAAATATAAATATTAGGTGAATTGAATTAATATAAGTTTTGTGCATTATAGGCTGGTGATCGACCGTACCACATTCGTCATACGAGCAATTTAGTGTGATATCATCCACTTAACCAGCCGTATCTCGTCGATGCGCGCTTGTTTAGTGTTCTGCCACTAGCCCCTCTTACCGGTGATCTGGGTTTGGTTACTGCGCTCGTAGAGCGTTGGCGACCCGATACATCGACCTTCCACATGCCGTTTAGTGAGGTGACGATCACCCTAGAGGAAGTTGTGACACTGACCGGTCTAGCGATCGACGGTGATGCCGTCGTAGTAGACATACCAGACCGGGACTGGTCGGCTATTTGTCTTCGACTGTTAGGACGGGCTCCTACTGATCTTGGCGGCGGCGGCATTAGGATTGCTTGGCTCAGGGAGACTTTCAATGAGCTACCGCTTTCTGCATCACCCAGACTACAGAGCAGTTTGCACGAGCGTATGCGCTATCTCTGATGGGAGGTGTCTTGTTCCCAGATCGGTCTGGAGGTTCAGTTCACCTGCAGTACCTACTTTTGGTGGATGATTGGCGTATAGCGGGGAGGTTTGCTTGGGGAGCAGCTGGGCTATCCTACATGTACCGTGAGATGGGTAGATCGGCGCTGCAGATGACAACATCTTCTTCACTGGGTGATGACTTTGGTGGATGGTCCGCCTTGCTTATGATTTGGACGTGGGAGCGATTTCCTCATACAACACCACTACATGCGGAGACGGGTGCGCAGATTACTCAGGAAGCAGTGCCACGTGGCCTTCGATGGTTTCTGGCCCACACCCGTCACCATAGAGATCAGTGCCACGTGCTTATTAATTTCATGTTAGTGCTATTGTCTAAATGAAAACTTTAAATATAAAACCAACAAACATCAACAACTAGTTCAGTTCATAAAAGTCCAAACAACAACTTCAAACAACAACAACTTCAAACAACAACAACAACTTCTACAAGGTAAATCGAAAGAAAAACAACAACTGCTACATTCGAACAAACTTCTCAGCCACGTCTATTACCTCTACTTCCTCTTCTACCACCTCTCGCACTTCGTTGGCCACCACAAGTTGATGCATTATGTCCTGCTTGGTTACAGTTGCTACACACTTGGTGTGATGCACCCTTCCTTGGACAATCCATCTCGTTTTGAATTCTTGTTGATCTTGGCCTCCCCGACTTTCTAATCATGTGCAGATTAGGGTGGAGAGTAGGGTCATTATGCTTCTTCCAACCCTTAGGTTCACCAAGAGGAGTGAAACTTGTCCCATAACAAGTCAGCACTGTTTGAAGCTTGTAGACGTCGTTTACAAACCTATACGGATTAGCCCCCATTCGGTTGCAAGCTGCAATGGCATGAGAGCAAGGAATTTTATTTCCTTGAAATTTCCCACAATTGCAAAATCTCGCCCGGTTGCGGTCGTCAAACTGCACTGTGAGTGTGTTTGACCCCGTCATGTTGAAATTGTTGGAAGGAGTCTGAACTACATAGATGCCTTGGCGTCGATCAATTGCTGTCACGGAATGTCCAACTGCCTTTTGTGACCACGGCTTCATCAGCTCCTTGCACTTGGTTGAATACTATTGTGCACCACTTCTATTTTCTGCTCCTGTCTCCAACCTCATCTTATCGAATTTCTCCACCAATCGCCAATAGGTATGTTGCAGAAGAGAAGCTATAGGAAGTTCACGAATACCTTTGAAAACACCATTGATGCTTTTTGCCATGTTGGATGTCATGATAGACCAAAGTCGCCCACCATTGTAGTCATCATGTGCTAAACTCCAACGAATCTGATGTTGGTCCACCCAGTTATCACATGAAATATTTCTATTAGTGGCCACCTTCTTAAATTTCACAACTTGACGATCAAAATTCTCCAAGCGTTTTTCTCCGGCTAACAAAATAAACAACCACACTGGTTAGATAAATTCATTACAAAATTACATGAAAATATCTAATACATGAAAATAAATAACAAAATTAAATGAAGAAGGCTTACCGACTCGAAATAGTTGCTTATGCATAATCCTGCTTTTAGTCTTCCTTTGCAAATTGCTTGCATAGTGTTGCATGCACCACCTCCACTCCCAACCTCTTCCGATGTTATTCATGGCTTCATAGAGTCCTGCATGTCTATCTGAGATGATGCAGACATCATTTCGATCAGTCAAACCCTGAACGTGACTTATGAACCATGGTCAATGACTCACTCCTACTGTCTCTCTAGAAAATGGCCAAGTGCAACCACTTCCTAAAGCGTAGTATAGCGAGTTTGGGTCCTAGATGTGATGACTACTCAGTGAATTCTTATTATCTAGCGGTGAAACTTTAGTGCAGGTTCAAACAAGCAAAGCCAGCAATTAAACGGTTGTTTCAAGTCGAGAGAGGTCACCCGGATATGGTTCCCCCTAGACTGCAGTTAAGCCGGATTGCAATTACCAAGTTCAGTTTCTATAAAATTTATACTGTGGAAGGTTCTTAAACAGTCTGAAGTCTCGACTAAAGGTCTCCATACCCTCTCAATCTGAGTCCCCAGCAGGCGACTAACCTCCACCGGAGTAAACAGATTGAGGCCCTAACGAACCAAACCTCGACTACCAAAGTAAATTCGGTACAAAATAGTGAACTAACTCCTCGACTAAAGTTGCCAATTCACCACCTTCAATTAAGGGTGCTCTATTAACCTAGGCAAATATTCTCTTTCTAGGTTAAAGCAGAAATAACAGGAATTTGATCAGGATTCAAGTTATTCAATCATTCAAGCCTCAATTGAACATAATCAAATCATAAAATCTGTACTTGGGTTCATACAATCGGACCTAACATACAAATCTAGGGTTCTCCATACCCAGATGAATGAGAAAACTACTCCATGGAGAAAGAAGCAAAAGCAGATTCAGATGCGGAAACCATACTATGAAGGATGGGTTTCTGCTCCTAGGCGTCGGTCGGCACTTCTCCAAGATCAAGCCGGCCTCCAATGGTGATGAAGATCAAGCTAGGGCACTTGGGAACTCTTGTTCGTTGCTTTCTCTCTAGGAATCGCTCTGTCTCTCTAAAACTCGGAACTCCCTCACTTGTGGCTAGAAATTGGCTTAAAACCAGAAAATCCCGACTCACACGGCCATGTCACACGGCCGTGTTGCAAAACACGGCGTTTCGTTAAGTGACTTCAGGCTTCCTATGCGGCCACGACCCACACGGTCGTGTGAGTGTCCAGGCTGCCCGTGTGGCTTTTGCCGAGCCTTCACACGGCCACAATGGGTCTCCTACACGGCCTTGTGGCTTTTGGGCATGCCCGTGTGGCTTCTCAGCTTCTCGCCAAACGTCCAAACTTCGTCCAATCGACCCCGAACTCATTCCTAAATCTTCATTCACGTACTAGGACCTGAAATATCACAAACAAGAACAACCTAGCATGAAATCGGCCTA